TTTTTGGTCGCCATTGACTTTTGGCGAACTAAAAATGAGGCTTTGGTGACTAATTTTTTAGCAGTGAATGTGTATTTTCTTGTAATGATGTAATATGATTCTCATATCTTTCATCTTAGAAGAACTTTTGAGGCATTAAAATTTTATACAATAAAAATGTTATATAGATTATCAAAAACTAACACTGCATCAATAAATTTACAACTTATTTTAAGTTAATAATTTAAAATTTTACTTACATTTATAACCATTATATGGGTCATGCTAAATATTAACAAAATTTAAGAAATACGAGGTACATTTAGGTTAGGGCCTAATTACATAAGCTTAATAATGACTATGAACATAGTGCACTAACATATGGATAGTTTTTCTAAATAAATATTTGCCAAAATTTTGAATAAGAAAATTTTCTTTAAAAAATAGGTTGATGATTTAGATTTTGAGCATATTGATAAAAATTAACTATTGATTTTGTAATGCTAAAAGTTTTAATAAAGTATAAAATTTTTAAATTACATACATTTATCATAAATATTAAATGTGAAAAAACTGCTAGGACTATTTGAAAATATTAAATTTTCATATGCTAGAAGAAACTATTTGATTAAGTATAGATTTTTATTTTAATAAAAATAGTTTATTAATAAGGTTATGTCATACATATTATAATGTATCATGTCCATTTTTTTTTAAAGTTTGTGATTAACTCTTAAAAATTATAAAATTCTTATTTGAAATGTGGATTATGCATAAATCTATTAACAAATGAGGAAAAAAACATTATAAATTCACATATAATACATATTTTACCTTTTATTTGAACTATGCTAACTATAGCAAACTAGTCATTCTGGCTCAAGTTACCCACTGTATAAATATTGTGATTTTAGTTACTAGCCATTAAAGTGGTCAACACATTTTCTACAAATATACAATAAAAAAACTTAGGCATGTGAGGCTAGAGTAAGTTTTTTTATATATGTATTTAGTTTAATTTATTTGTTAGTATATTAGTTCCAAATTTTTTAATATAAAACAATTAAAAAAACTAAAAATGATCTATAGTGGTGATCAAATTAAGAAAATGACTTTAGGGTTTGCAAAATGTTCAATTGGTCTAACCTCATAAAAAAATTAGTAAATATAATTAACTAATATTTAATGAGACTATTTTAAAGGTTATACTAGCAGCCTAGCAGGATCGAAATCATCAAAGTCTTATTTTGAGTGGGTTGAAGATTGGGGCACTGATACTCTATTTATTTATGTTTTTATTCTTCAATTTGATTGATTGAATTCTACAAAATAGATCAGGTAATTGATTTTACATAATAGATATGAGATAATTGGTAAATTAAAAACTAAAATTCACGAAATTCATCAAGTCAAAATTATTATTTATATTATTATATTTAATTTATAATAATAACATATATATTAATAATTAAATAAATAATTCTTCTTATATTATAAACAAAGTTTTTGTTATAATTTAATTTCAAAAATAATTTTTAATTATATGCACGGGTATTAATGCTAGTAATATACTAAGGAAAATGTTTAAGACTCTCGTGCATTTTCATTTCTTTCATTTGTATTTTATATTTTTAATAAAATTTTTTACTTTGTCGATAAAAAAAAAAAAAGAAGCAAATATTTAAGACTCACAAAACACTTTTTAATTTTGATCTATAATGATGTGACATGATACATGACGACTTTGATTTGTCACATACTTAATTGTGTAAGGTCTATCTCTCTTGCCATATTATTGTGGGCAAATTTAACGATCCAATTTGTAGGTCGGTAACGCTACTCATATACTAAGGGACAAGTTTTGTCTCTAGTTGGTGGTATTGTTGGCTCTCAGGGAGCTCATTACATAGTTGATTTCAATAATTA